ATCGTTATTTCTTCTTACACAGCTCTTAGTGGTTTGATTTATATAACAGCATAAGTCTGCATGATACCCAAACAGAAATTAACGAAATGATTCATTTCACTAAAGTTAAACTATTTTTTAAACATTTTTATTTATTTATTTTTATTTTATGTGTATGAGTGTATTGCCTGCATGTGTGTAAGTGCACCTGTGTCATGCTCTGCCCAGGTGCACACCTGTAGTCCCAACACTTGGGAGGCAGAGGCAGGCAGATCTCTGTGAGTTCAAGGCCAGCCTGGTCTACATAGTGAGTTCTAGGACAGCTGGGGCCACAGGGAGACCCTGCTTCAAAAAGACAAAAAAAAAAAATCATGCACATGACCGATGTGATTCAGAAACTTTAAATATTATTGTTATGTATCATTTTAAGGATGACTGTATAGGAAAATATTTTCTAATCCTCAATATTTAGCACTATACATCTGTGTAAGTGTGGAGTTTGATTATTGGATGTAATGATCATTTATTTCTTTTTGTTTGTTTTTTTTTTATTTTTTCGGTCTTTTTGAGACAGGGTCTCCCTTTAGCCCCAGTTGTCCTGGAACTCACTATGCAGACCAGGCTGGCCTTGAATGCACAGAGATCTGCCTGCCTCTGCCTCCTGAGTGCTGAGATTAAAGGCATGCACCACCACGCCCAGCCATTTATTTCTTTTTAAAATAATTGCTACTGTTGTTTTATTGGATATACTGATTTGTTTCATAAAGACATTTTCCCAGGAGTATGTCATGTGTCTCTACCATGCTCACCCACCATCTTCTCCTTTCTTGCATCTCCACTCCCATTATTCCCCTTCCTGCTCCTGGGCTTGCATTTGTTTAGATTTATGACTAATGTTCATAAGAATATTTACTTCCAAAGAACAAAATCTATTGTTTTAAATGTTGACATGATTTTTAATGGGCCCCATTTATCACTTACTTCATGTCCTTTCCTCCACTTGGGATTTAAATGAAAATATAATATTTTTATTTTATTTATCTATGTAAACAAACTCCCCGGGTACTCACTGTCCTTGATAGTGGGCATCTTCTCATATAACACGGGAGAACTCTGCTTTTCACACTTCTTCCTTCTCATTCTTGAACTCACCTGTAGTGTTGTTATTTTCCCCCGTTTTGAATCAGTACATGATTCTTTTGTACACACAGCTACCAAGTCTCCTCTATTCTCTCCATTCTGCCTCAGCTCTGTAAAATTAGCAGGCATTGGAGACAGAATTAATTCTGCTTAAGCACTAGAATATTTGGATTTATAAAAATCTTTTTTTTTTCTCCCAGTAAGGTAGAGAACTAAGGTTTAAAGGGTGTAAGACCGTATAACACATGTTCTGTTATTACTTAACTAATAAAATGTGACTTGATTTTAGACATGCTTAATATTTGGCTGTTGGAGAAATTTGTAGGTAAGATACTGCTTAAAGCTTCTTAAGTGCTTTACTTGTTAAGCAAAACAAAATGCCTTCTATAAAAAATTAATGATATTTAAAATTTTTTTCCAATTACTCAGGCTCGCCCTGTGATCCCACCTACATCTTGAGCTGTGCTCCTTGCAATGTGATCTGCTCCATTATTTTCCAGAATCGCTTTGATTATAATGATCAGGAATTTCTTGACTTGATGGAAAGATTAAATGATGATACCCAGATTCTGAGCTCCCCATGGATGCAGGTGAAGTCAAGATCATTTCTTTTTGAGAATATACTTAAGAACTTTCTTTCTCACAAGATCAAATTCTGCACGGATCAAATAATGAGGGGGATGGACTCCACAGTCCTGCCTAGAGTATTATAGTAAAAATATCTGGAAGCGATGTTTAAGTTCTTTTCTGTACAAAGAGGAAATAATAAGGGCAAATACCATGTTCACTGAAGCCTGTTAGCTTTGTATCCATTGACTTTCCCATTGACTTCCACAGAGGTGTTTGTATAAAACTATTTATTCCCTTCTAGATGGAAAGGCAGTCACTCATAGAACATTCTTATACCATCCAGAACTTCATTTACTGCCAACGATTAAGCATGTCTTCATCATATTACTTGACATAAATATTTTAGTTTAGAAAGAAAAAGGAGAAAGACTGTTTGAGGCAATAGAACCCTCCAGGACGCAATGAGTAGCTTTGATCCCCCTTGTTGTCTTTTATCCTTCTCTTTCTTTTATTATATCTTTTGTTTTCTCAAAATATTTTTATTAATTCTTTGAGAATTACATACAATGTCTTTTTATCATATTCACACCCAACTCCTCAACTCCTCTTGCATCCACTCCCACCTCCCTACCCCTAACTTTGTTTTCTCTTTTTAAAAATATTTACTAACGCATCTACTTCACCAGCTTCTGCAGGCTCTGGGACCATAGTGAAGGTTGGGGGTTGTGATCTTAAGAGCTGGATGTTAAGGAAGACCAGAGCAAAATAGTGTCTTCTCCATACTGTACTCAAGAACTCACTAGCTCTGGTTGCCTGCATAAAACTTACACAAGATCAAGTCAGTCAACATTCTAGAATACAGTGGGAAGAGGTCATGATCTCTTTCCCCTAAATGATGAGCTATAGAAAGTTGATAGCTTCACTGGGATGGAAGGGAGAGATAGCTTTTTTGATTTTTAAAAAATATTTTCCAGCCCTATCTCCAGCTAGCCTAGCACTCACTATGTAGACACAGCTGGTCTCGTACTCACAGAAATCCACCTGCCTCTGCCTCCTAAGAGCTGGGATTAAGGCATGTGGCAACATGCCCTGCTCCAGAGATAGTTTCTTTAAGGGGGTGTTTCCTGGTTGGTTGGCAACACTCAGGTAGATGGTGTTACACCCAGAAATGTACACATAGAATAAATTGGAGTCAATGGGTTATTAAATGATTTCAGGTTTTTGATGCTTCACCTAGGAAAGTAGTTTAGATGGTAACAGGTAAAAATGACAAATGGAAAGCATGGTTTGTGGACTATAAATATCCTCACAGTATTTTCCTGTGCAGAATTGGCATCTTCTGCACTCTGTATAAATAATGATTGTGTGATCATACAGAAGTTGCTAATGGCTGAGGTATGCCCTTGATGTCAAGGTATCCTTGAGCCACATTCATTTCTAAATACTCACTCCATGGCAGATACTGGTTCATAGGAATAAAGTTTCTAGGTGTTAACTTTCTGATCTAAATTATCAACTCTCAATTTCTGTCATCTAAAAATATGAATAACAGTAATTTATATCATAAATTATTTCAAACTAGCAATGAAGAACAGATATAAGCATATAGTGAGTTGGCATAAATGTGCTAAAATGTTTCATGAGTGTGGAAAATTGGTTATGAACTTTGATCATCTGGGAAAGATTTTCTTCCTCATCTCTTTCTCCTACCACAGAGATTTAATATATATGTAAATAAAAATCTTATCATGTTGGACTTCTTTTTTCATTCATATTTATAATTATAAATCTAGTTAGTCTTGCTTTGTGTTGTAAGTATACATGAACTTAATAATTTTACTCAGTGTGCTGGATAGCTTTAGTATCAACTTGACACACCTGGATTAAGGGAGCCTCATTTTGGGAATTGAACTGGCCTGTGGCCATGTCCATGGGGCATCTTCTTGATTGTTGAGTGATGTGGGAGGGTCCAGACCACTGTGGGTGGTGCCACTCCTGCAGGTGGACCTGTGTTGCATAAGAAAGCAGGCTGAGCAGGGGCCAGGGGAGCAAGGCAGTAAGCAGTGTTCTTCTATGGCCTGTGGTCTAGCTCCTGTCTCTAGGTTCCTGCCCTGAGTTCTTACTTTGGGCTCCCTGATGAACTGTGACCTGGAGATGTAAGACAAATAAACCCTTTCTGCCCCAAGTTGGTATTGGTCAGCATGTTTTGTCACAGCAGTGGAGACTCAAACCAGGACACTCAATTAATAAATAATGAGTCTTTTGTCTCATAGGTCTGTAATAACTTCCCTTTTCTCATCGACTATTGTCCAGGAAGTCACAACAGATTTTTGAAAAATATGGATTACAATAAAAGTTATTTTATGAAGAAAATAAAAGAACATCAGGAATCCCTGGATGTTACAAATCCACGAGACTTTATTGATTATTATTTAATTAAAAGAAATCAGGTAAAGTGTTAATATAAATGAATTTATTTCATTATTCAAGTATTTTATAGTTTATTAAGTGATAACATGTTTACAAGATATATTTAAATGGACTGATCAGTAACATTTGTAGAAATTTTAGGTATTTTATTTTATCTTTTTTTAAAAAAAATTTTCTCCCTTAGTAAAAGCAGATATTTTAACATGTGTTACAGAAGAAGCTCTACACTGAATTATTTACATATATTGATTCATTATATAATGATTTAAAGAAAATAGAAAGGTAGATATAGGACTCATAGTCTTATCTACAAGACTGTAAAGATTCTGTTGGAAAAGAGAAGTTGGTCCTAAAATATTGGTTCACATATCTTGAGAATACTCCTTTTTTTTTATAAGATCCTTCATTTCTTTTTTTTAATGTACTCTTTCTTCTTCATTTTTTATGGGGCTTTTGGATACTCTATAATTCCCCATCTGAAGAGGTAACCCTAAAATCTTTTAAGGCCTAGATAAAACTCCCAAATACTTTTGACATTATTACCCTTTGGAAAGGAGTATCGTGCTAAGAGGCCTAAAGACATTGTGAATTTTAGCCAAGAAACTGGCTACTTTTCTTTGGAGTCCTTGTCCCCTAATTGCCTACCCAATTCCTACCTCCTATTCTTATCACACAATCCTCTGAAGGGGTTACCCAACTTGAGGATAGGAAAGCAGGACACAGACCACTCTGGCTTCTTCCATGCTGAACAGGGACACAGGGTGAGGCAATTGGAGTACCCCTTGAATCATGAATAGGAGATGTGAAAGAGAAATAAAGGCAGAACTAATTAGCATTACAAGTTCTAGAAAGAAGTCAGAACAGGGAAATTTTCAAATGTTCTTATGAGAGTCCATTGGGACTTATTGACGAGAGCTTCCAAAACCATCTCTCTATTGGGTTCCTCCTCCATTGTTTGTGTGCATGTGTGTGTGTGTGTGTGTGTGTGTGTGTGTGTGTGGTAGCTGTTTGAGTGGTTAGAATCAGTGTCAGTTCCCTCTCAAAGGCTTCTAGATAGGGGGAGAAAACAAATTTAGCCATCATTTTAAAACAACAGCCAGTTGTCTCCCTTAGTTACAGGTGGACACTACAGTATTGCAGACCAAGATTTGAAGTCTTACATCTGAGCAGCACTTTGTGATTAGAAACAAAATCTTCAATGAGAAATAATTGTCTAAATAACTTTTTATATGGACTTAAGCCTAATGTCTGGGATGTGCAATCCCTTGAAACCTTAAAGGAATATACTAATGACTTTACTCTGGTTACACATTGCTTCCAAAATGGGCAGAAAACCTGAGAAAGCCTAGGCAAATCACGAAGATTTGTGTAGGTTTGTTATGATATATAAAGGATGAGACAAAAAATAATAAACAAGGGCTGGAGAGATGGCTCAGTGGTTAAAAACACTGGGTATTCTTGCAGAAGACCCGGGTTTGAATCCCAGCACCCACATGGCAGCTAATAACTGTCCATAACTCCAGTCCCAGGGTATCTGACAGCCTCTTCTGACCTCCGCAGGCATTGCATGATATGGGTGCCCTTACCTACATTCAGGCAATACAATACACATAAAATTTTAAAAAAATTAAAAAAATAATATACACATAATCTTAAATTTTCCAGGGTCATAGTTTAGTCAACTAGTTTAAGGAACAAAATACATATCTAGTCAAGGTTTATCTGAGAATATTTGATTTTTATACCCAAGCTGTATCTACATAACATATGGTAATTAACAGTACCAGACTGGTGGAACTAACCTTATTGGATGTTTAACAGCCATACTTTGAGGCCTATACAAATCTGGTCAGAGGGATTTAAAGGATAGCTTTTGCCCTTTGCCCTCCAAGGTTGACTAAGTTCCAGGCGACTCTGGAGCATCTCTCAAAATGTCCTGTAAATATGGTGAGTCACCTCTCCTCTTGTTCAGGGAGGCCATGGAGACTCAACCAGGTGAACTTGCATCAGTGTCCAGTCTATAAAGAGGAGGGTCAACTCAGAGGAAACATTTCATCCATGCTTCCAAGTGAAGCTAGATATGGTTGAGCAGGATCTTTGACTTATCTTCACATAGATGGAACTGATAAAAGAAAGGCTCCAGGGGCTCCTCCAAAGCCCATGTGACCCCTGAGGAACAGATCCTCAAACGACCTTAAGTGTAAAAAGAAATCAATTTATTTGGGCCAACTGTATGGTCTTAAACACCCAAAAGTAAATTTTAGTTTTTTTTTAATGTGAGAAAATGTAATGCTGATCCTGGAAAACATAAACTGAGTTAATAATTAGAGCCTTGTTCTTGAC